ACTTTTAATCCAAAATTCTCAGATTGCTGAGAATCTAATATATCATCTGTCCTGTTAAAATAACTTGATTTTTACAGAATGTTATTTATTTGTGTGGGAGAGAGAGAGCTCTCATCTGCTACATCACTTCTGGAATGCCCACAATGTCTAAGACCCTAAAATTCAATCCAGGTCTCTCCCATGGGTGGCAGGGACCCAGCCACTGGAGCCATCCTGCCGCCTCCCAGCACTGCTGCGTTAGCTGTGACCTGGAATCGGGAGGTGGAGCTGACACCCTGACATAGGATGAAAGCAATTCAGGCACCTAGCCAAAAGCCTGCCACTGGCTTTGCTGTTTCACAAATGCTCTCTAGGCATCAGCAAGGGGCCCCATGGAGCCAATCTCTTCATCTTCCAGGGGGTTCCCTTTTGTGGGGCCTGCTGTATCAAGGCCACAGGTGTTTATCCTATGAGCCCCCCTGGAAGTCTGGCTGGCTCTTGGAAGGCAGGCTCTGAATGTCTCCTAGGCCCCTAGGTTGCATCAGCAACCAGCCCGGCCTGCAGCCACAACTGCCTTGTAGGTAGCACAAGATTTGGGGCTTGTTGAGGAAACACAAGATAAACAGCCAGCACAGCTGTGGGGCTCACAGTCCAGGTTCCCTCCCCTTCTGCGGTCTGGTAGGTGCGCTGTCCTATTCCAGCCGGACCCTGGAACCCACACCTGCTCTTGCCTCACCGCTAGGCCCTGCTCCCTCCCAGCCCTTGAAGCCTTTCCATTCCATGGTGAATGCAAGGGGCGAAAGGAGGGGTGGCTTCCCAGGAGCCTCCCTATACTCACAGGGCCCCATCTCCCCCTTGGGATGTACAGAGGAGCTGTATTCTACCTCTGCCTGGTACCCAGGTCCTGCTCTGAGTCCTGCTCGTGGGGAAGCCTGTGGCTGGGGGGCTCCTTCTGGTTTGGGAATTGAGCATTTCCAGGCTCTTGGGCCCAGCTGAGCCAGGCCGGGACCTGTGCAGGAGTGGGACAAAGCAGATGCCCACCACAACTGGACCCTATTACCATGTTAATGGCCTGGGTTCCTGGCCTCCTGAAGATGTTGGAAGGGTGGGGTTACTTTCTTTTACTTTTTCTCTCTTTCTTTCTTCTCTTTTGCACAAGGAGAATAGTTCCGCTTCCCATTTTATTAGGACAATAGCAGAGACTGGCTCCTTCAAGTGTTTCAAAAAGCGGCCTGAGAACTCTCCAGCCAGCCCCCTCAGTCTCCCCGGTCTCCCAGGCTTACCCTTTTATCATCCCTCCTCCCTTCCCAGGGATCAAAGGGAGGGCCAGGAGGAAGGCCCCCAGTTGCTGACTGTTCCCAGCATCCTAATCCTTGAGAAGGGGAAGGGCCTGGGGAGCCCCTGAATTAAATTTTGCCCTCACCTTTTATTCCCTGCCTGGCCCTGCACTCAGGAGTTCTTCAGGTATTCTAAAGCCTTAGGGTTAGCGAGCTGGAGGGGTGAGGTGGGGCTTACTGCAGGGATAAAAGGCACTGGGGGAGTCCATTCCCACGCTCACTGACAGCCCCTCCCCCAGGGCAGCCGGAGTCCCCTCACCCCCACCTGGCCCCATCACCAAGAACAAATGTCAAGGCCCAGAGGCTGGCAGTGTGTGTCTTTCTCCCTTTGCTGGCAGCCCAGAGGCCTTCCCCTCTCCATCTCCACACCTGATCCCCGCCCACAGCGACCCCTTCTAACTGGACAGCTCTTTGGCCATGACTGCTGATGTCTTTCCAAGCTGCTGACCAATGGATCAGGATCTATACTTCCAACTTGGTGAATTGGGACAGGTGCTGCGGCATTGCTGGTAAAGTTGCTGCCTGCAGCCCCGACATATATGGGCGCTGGCTGCTCTACTTGCCATTCAGTTTCCTTCAAATAGCCTGGGAAAACAGCGGAAAATGGCCCAAGTGTTTGAGACTCCACACTCACATGGGAGCCCCAGAAGATGCTCCTAATCCATGGCTACGGTCTGATCTAGTCCTGGTCGTTGCAGCCATTTGGGAACTGAGCCAGCAGATGAAAGATTGATCTCTCCATCTAACTCTGCCTCTCAAATAAATTTAAGAAATCTTTAAAAAGAAGAAGAAGAAAACCCTGGGGAATTGTGCAGATGTCTTAGCTGGGTAATTTGGTAAGAACGAGGGTTAGAGGGGAGTCAGCTTTTATGTTGCAGAGCTGCCACCTCAAGGGTACTGGCGCACTGCACTGAGAGAATAATATGCAGGTCATTTCCTGGGACAGGCAGTTTAAGGGGCGAAACCTGCTCAGATCAGCCATGCTGGTCACTACAGTCCCAGCAGGAAGAACAGTTGATGCTGCAAGCTGCACACACAAACTCGGAACGCAAGCTCCCACACACGAGCAGATGTGCCAATGTTCTACGAAACCACAATATACGCGATTTAAGCTGACATTTCCACATTTTCTATTCTCCCTTCCTTCCTTCCCTCCCTCATCCCCCTTCTTCCTTCCTTCTTTCCTTCCCTCTCTCTCTCCCTCCCTTCCTTCCTTCCCAAAAGCCTTGTGATGTGACTCATCCATTTCATGTCATGACCCACCACAGGGTTGCCACACAGCTCTGAAAGCCTTGAATCAAGGTTAACATTGCATTTTCACGCTGACAAAACTAGGGCCCGGGAGATTTTCTTCAGATGCTGCCCAAGCTGGGACTCAAATCCACAGATTTTTTCCAGTACAGTGAGGACCCTGGTTTTTCTGAGAAGCATACCTTCTCTTTGTTTTCTCAAAGTCTTTGGAAGCAAAAAGCAAGGGGGCAAGGATGCAGAGAGGGCAGAAGCTGGGGGAAAGGAATTGAGGGGGTCTTCAATAGCCCCCAGGCAAGGTTCTGAGGCCTCCCAGGCATTTTTATTTACTAACTGGGGTTCTTGTATCAGAAGACATTTTCCTCAAATCTCTTTTTCTGGACCCACAGCTTCTTGTCAGTTTCCGTTAATAATTCACTTTTTCCCATTGTTTTCCAACTTTTTCTGATAGTCCTGATAGTCACTTCCTGTAGTCCCTTTCTCTCTCTCTCTCCTTTCCTTCCTTTCTCTCGCTTTCTTCTTCTTTCTTTTTCCTTCCTTCCTTCCTTCCTTCCTTCCTTTCTTTCTTTCTTTCTTTCTTTCTTTCTTTCTTTCTTTCTTTCTTTCTTTCTTTCTATCTTTCTTTCTTTCTTTCTTTCTTTCTTTCTTTCTTTCTTTCTTTCTCTCTTTCTCTCTTTCTCTCTTTCTCTCTTTCTCTCTTTCTCTCTTTTCACCTCTATTGCCCTGGTTTCTATTCCCACTCTCTCCTTTCTCTTCCCTGTCAAAATCATGATCCTACAAATGAACATCAGAGAGGTCACTCAACGAGTCTTGTTTCTGCAAATAAATCGCAAAGATGCTTCCAAGCGGACCTGGCTTAAGGAAGGCTCCTTGCCAGTGATTAAGGCACAAGAATCCCATCAGGCTCTCAAGACAGGCCATGTCATGGTGGGACTGACTCTTCTCCTCCCGCATTTATCTCCCATAGAATTTCTTGAAACCTTCATCTACACTTGCTGTTTACTAGGCCTCTAATCTTTTAAGAAAGCCTCTAAAAATGAAGAGCTCAAAGCCACCCTGTGCACTGGGTAAACACCAGCCTGCCTTTCTGATTGCTTGTTAGTTCCACCCCTTAGAGAGCACCGAACAAAGGGGCCTACTGTTTGTCTTTGCCTAATCTTGTCTTCAAATCGCTGCTGCTTTGTCAGAAAACAATATTTGTAATTGTTAAAAAAAAAAGAAGAAGAAGAAGAAGAAGAAGAATATTTACCCAGAAACTTGGATCGCATAAGTCAAAGGCTAAGAGCCAAAGGTCAGTGGTTCTTACCCCCAAATTTCAGTGGATGTGAAAGTCCCTGCTGGGGAGCTCAACTGCACCAAACAAACACACTGCTTTGGCGAGAAGCAGCAGCCAGCGGCAGGCAGGGAGGCTGCAGCAGGCCCTCCGGGAGCAGCATGGACCTGCCAAGCTGCTCTGGAGAAGCTTACAAAGCAGGGTGAGAGCTAACAGGGTGCCTCCCTCAGGCGACTGCAGGGGCCGCCCTGCTTCTAAACCTGAGAGAAATGCTCAACAGCCTGCGAGGCAGGGAGGTCACGAAGAGATGGCTATGGCCTAATGCTCCTGCATGGTTCAGGCAGTTGGTGCAACTGTATAGGTGACCTGCCTGGACAGATGCAAACGGCCAGCAGTCCCTTTGGGACCCTTTTTAATCTTCAAGGCAGTTTTTGACATCTGATTCCACCGGCTGATTCTTCTAAGTTGAATGGTATTTGAATGCTCCTTTTCATGTCAATTGTTTTCTGTAATGCCCTGACACCAGGTGCCTTTCCTATCCACCAGAATAGCCTGCACCTGAGGCTGATCCAGCAGAGTGGCAGATTGTGATTTTGGGGTGCTCCACATTGAGCAGGAGTTCAGCTCCCCCTGAGTTCCAAGCCTACTGCACAAAGTACAGGTCAGCAAGGCTGGGTGCCCCCCAGGGAGCATCCTATGGGCTGTGAGTACCAAAAAGATGTAATGGAATAGCCAGAAGGAGGCTGGGAGGTAGGGCTGGGGAAGCCACAGCCCAGGGTACTCAGGCCACCACTTGGGAACGGTCCTAGGCTTGCTGGGTGACAGGGCCCTGTGGCCGCACAGGCTCCGGGCACCACTGCAGACCTGCTGATAGGCTCACTTCACAGGATCTGCCATGAGAGCTGGAAGGGGTGGCCTTTCTGCATCCGATCTGCTGCATTTTAGCTGTCTCAGTTAGCTTTGGAATTCTGTAATTCTCCTTCATCCTCACCTCCATCTTCTGTCAAAGTCTGGCATGATGGCCAATCTCTTGATCTCGCCCAGGTAAACATCCCTGGCCAGTGTGCCTAGGCCTGTGATTCTGTCTGAAATGGCTTCTGTCTGGCAGTGGACAGCACTGAGCACAATGAGCCCAAAGAAATGGCTTAATCCAAAGATCTTACCTCAAAGAACCAGGCCTTCATCCTTGATGGTGTAGGGAAACGAGGTGAAAGGAGCCAGAGGGGATTTGGCAATGAGGATCTGTACAAAAAAAAGACCGCGTTTTCCTGAGGTTAATGGAAAAATTAGGGGTGATCTTTTCCGTTCATCCCCTTCTGAGACAGTAAGTGGTAGCACATGGCTACAGATCATAAAGCTGGTTAAAAAACACTGTTTTAGAACCAAATGTTCAAATGAATGTTAGCCTCTCAAAATGTTCATTTCAGAAGGCCGTGCATTCATTTCAAACACTCTGCCCCAAATAACATCTTCTTGAACCAATTTAAGACTCATGCTTTTATGTCAGATGCTTAAATAACTACCTTTCTGCTCCAAGATAAAGCCCGATTCTTTTATTCCTAAACTTCATTATGTTACTAGGAAAAAAAGAGGGGGAAAAAAAAGCTATGCTTAAACATTTTACCGTCATTGCAACTGCTCAAAATAAGCTCCTCAAAGCAAAGGATTAGGAGTCTGCTGTGGCGGCCTCATGCTTTCACCACTGCAATGCTAGTGTGTTGGGTGCAGATCCCAACGATGTGGCTACCCTTTGTCTTTGACGTGTGGCACGTTTTCCATGGCCCTTCACTGTGAGTCTGGCTCACGGGGAGGCTGGACCCATTTGTTCCAAGTCTTGAACCTAAAGAAGCAAGAGTGTTTCTGCTTGTTCTCTTAGGCTTCTGTCATTGCCCGAGAAAAACACGCAGCTCATGTGCTAGCTCAGGCAGAGAACAGAAGGCGCCTAGAACGCAGCTGCCCAGCCAGATCCGGCCTAAATCATGCACCTACCAGATGTATACGCATATGAGTTACCTATGTATCACCTTCTACCTCTCAGCTTTTGCTACTAGTGTCATGAAGAACTACTGCAGTAAGAATTGGACTGACACAGCAGCCAAGACAAAATAACAAAAGTGTTTTTGAATGATGCTTTCCTCTTAAGATGATCTGTTTTTAAGGAGGTGGTCATTTGGTATCGAAACAAAACTCAGCAGCACTAACCCATGATCTCAATCCCTGTGGTGCTACAGAATTCTCAAGAATCCATGTAGTGTCTCATTATATTTCTTTGGAAGGCAGATGAATATCAGCTTCCTGTTTTACAAATTAAAGCAACATCATCAAAAACAGTGACTATTTGGCACTTTGGTATACCTGGAGGCACGGGAGAAAAGAGAGGACTATTTCAAATAAGCAAAAGGCATATGCATATTATCTCAAGTATCTTGATTCACAAACATTCACAGACTGTCAGCTCTGGGAGAAGGTGGGATGACCGTAGGGTTTGGGTCACAGGGCTTGAATTCAGTCCTTCCCTGTAAACCAGCGACAAGCCTCTGGCAGAGCCTGCAACTTCCCTGCTCCTTGAGTCCCCTTCTCTCTTTTATAAATACCTCCCCATATTGCAAAATGTCCCTGCCACTTTTGCAACCAGGTGTGGCTCTGTGACCAACCTTTGACTAAGAGAACAGATGACAGGTACAAATGACAGGGAGATGATGTTTTTATGACAAATTTACACACTCTTCACTTTCTGTTCCCCCTTCTGCTGGACAAGAACCAGCTCTAACCACATGGATGTGGGCAACGTTCTGGTGGTGATGAAGCAAGAAAGGAAGCTGGGTGACCTCTGAGAACTTGATTGTCTCTTACCTGGGGTCACCTGGCCCCTCAGGACGGAGCTACTTCTCTACCTCTATACTTCAGATGTCTGTTACTATAGTACAGCCTTGTCCTTAACCAACCAGGGACTATAGGTGACCTAGATGTTTTGGATCTCAGTTTTCTCACATGTCACACCTGCTTACATGGAATTGTTGTGAGGTTCAAATGAAATGTCAAAGATGCCTGCCACTATGTCAAATGCACAGAGGTGTGCAACAAATAAGAGGGATGTTTCCAGCTAGCCCCTGACATAAGCTTCCCAAAGTGTTCCTTAACTCTTGCCCACAAAAGATTTAAACAAAAATTGTGTGTGGCTTAAGGGAGTCTTCAGGTACATTTCCAGATAAAGCTTTTCAGCATATTCTGAGAACCAATGAATGCAAGGCAAAGCACAGGTGGCCATTCACATCAAAAACACTGCCTTAAGGTGGATGCTTTTGCAGCCTGAGATAATTTGGAGATGGTTCAACTTTAAGTTTGGAGGATGATGCCCCTTAGTGGAGAAGTGACATGGTCAAAGAACAGTGCTCTTCCAACTTCAAAGTGGGAATGAATCATCCGGGGACCTGCTCACCTGTAGATTCTGATTAAGTAGTTTTTGAGTAGAGCCCCAAAGCCTGGATTTCTAATAAGCTCTCAAGAGCTTCTGATACTGTGGCCTCATGATGGGTACAGTAGGATCTGTCTCCCCAAAAATGTAAGCAGGTATTTAAACTCGGGCATGTTAATGCTCATGGCTGAGGACTGAGCGTGAAGATCTGACCAATGCAGGGGTAGGAGTTGGAGCTGGTGGGAGATACTTAGGTCAATAGGGGCACTGTCCTCCAAGGGTGGTTTCCATGAAAGAGCTCTTTCTTGAGTTCCAGTTCAGCCTTGGTTCTCTCTCTGGGCTTCCTGGATCACCATGTGATGGTTCCCCCTCACTGGTCATGACCAGCTCCCAGCAGAAGCTATGACAGCGGAGCATTCACATTGTGAACCGCAATCTCTGAATCATAGCTAAAGCACACCTTTTCTTTTCCAAGAAGCTCCTTTCAGGTAGTTTAATGTAAAGTAACAAAAAGCAGCCTCCATCAAGCCCAGCAACCACATTTTGAGTAGCCAGGTTCCAGGCAATTAACTTGATTGAGGAGCCTAAGCTAGAAAAGCAAGAGACGGGAGGTCTGGGGTCAGTCAGGAAGCTTACTGATAACTCGGTGATGAGACTGACAAGAGCCTTAAGCCACAAGCGAATCAAAAACAGTGGGAGAAAGGAAATGGACAGGAGAAAGATAAGTCCTTTAGATGAAACAACAAGTTAAGGAAAACAAACATATCTCAACTCTCAGATCTTTATTATCTGTATGTAGCAACTAGACACAAAAGCAGAGGGTAGAAATAAATGCCAATCAATGCAGCATTATAATGTTCTTTTCAAAATTATAGTACTATTTTTATTTTATGGATTACAGAAGCTGAATCCAAAAAGGAAGAATGTGGCATTCTAATGTGTAAGAAAAAAAAATATGATATTCCAAGATGACATAGAAATGGCATCCGGGCCTTAACCTCCAACTTGGAAATCCTCAATCCATTATCTAGAGCCCACTCGAGAAACAAGCTCCAAGGCCTGACTAAGAGGATCTCATGGCTGCAAGGACCTTTCTCTCGGGACTCAAAGGGTTTAAGTAGCAGGTCATCCACGAATACCCTGTCTAGAGTTTGAGTTTAAGATGAGTCATCAAAAAGATGATCTGTGTGCAGTTAAAAAGAGGAAGTGATAAATTGTGCTAGATGAACCCCACTTCTCTATTTTTTTGGGAAAGAATTTCCAGATTGCTAGATCCGAGTGCTACCACCAACACAAAATACTAGATTTCAGCAAAAACTTTAACAAACTTGCTTGAGAGCCTTCTGAATAAAAGGAAGACAAATTGAGCCGGACGCTACTACTGGAAGGGGATTTGTAGTTACCCAAGGATCAGTGGCAGTCTGGCAAGTGAGAGCATTCGCTAGTACAACGCATTGGGGTTCAACCTGAATCTTATGTCATTCAACATTCTTCCCAGTCTGAATGTATTCAACCACATCCGCACCAAAACGGAATCCAGTGGTGAACAGAATTGATCAAATCACTGCTCTAGTGAATCTTAAATTGTGAGGAGGTAAAACAATAAAATGAGAAAGTGAAATAGGTGGTATGCTAGATGACTGTGTGTGCCCTGGAAGAAGAATACAGAGACAGAGTAAGCTAGTGTGCTAGGTCAGAGGAGGGGGTCAGTTTTCAACAGAGTACATGACATGACCTCACTCAACAGGTGACATTTAGATCTGGGGCACACGGAACCAAACCCTATGATGGGACACTGTGCTGATGAGAAATAGAAAACAAAACATTTAGAATTTCATTATGAGTCCAGGAGGAAAGCCACTGTGACCCAATTTTTGATGATGCGTATCCTGTGTGCTATGTAGGAAGTTGTCCTTGGAATGTTCTGAGAGGGGAATCACAGGAAAGTGTAACTGGGTAAGAATGAGTGTAGGTAGGTGGGGCTTCCCATGGTAGGTGCGTGGAATTTTAAACTGTTAAACAGTCATAATTCACAAAGAGCCAGGTTATTTTCTCTTCAGTGTTTCCTTCATATTAGAGCAGCTTGGCTTTATGCTCTAATAAGTATACTTTCTCCTCTGTTTACAAAAAAGTAGTCATCAGTATTTTAGAATTCTTGTAAGGAACATTTGAGGTGTACCTAATAGATGCTAGATGCTGGGTCTCAAATCCCACTGCCGTCTTTCAGTATTTTCCATTATTCGTACCATCCTCCACTCACAAGTATTTCCTGGGACCCTCATCATTGTGGGTGTCTTCTCCTGGTACCACAACCCCCAGCATGGTGCCATACAAATAACAGAAGCTCAGCTACATGATGCAAGAAGGAACGAGTGCATAGACACACAAATTGGTGACCTGCAGAAACTCTGGTGACTCATGCCCACTTTGAGGACTCATCTGGCATCCTCTTCCCAAATCAGGGGATGAGGAGATGCCATGGAAGAGAACAGGCTGCCCAGTCCATCACTGCCAATATCCTCAGCTTGGGCAGGCTCAGAGTCAAGTCTTTGGTTTCAGCTTGCTATAGCATCACATGTTTTTCCTGGCTTGGTTCCACTTCTAAAGAGGCTCAGCAAGTGGAACAGGAGCCACTGGAGCAGAAAGTACTGGGCAGAGGAATCCCAGGATGGTGACACCTTCTAGGGATAGTGTCTGTCTTCCTTTAGAAATACAGGGGTGGCCTTTTTCTGGGCCAACACAGCCCAGCCCTTCTCCATGGGTGGCCAGAAAGGCCAGTGTGGAATAGGCTGCACAAAGATGCAGGCTCTTTGGGAGGCTGCTTCTA